TTATATACTAGAAAGTGGGCCAATTTAGTCCCAAGGAGTATTGAAATAGTACACTTACAAGTATACTACTAGTACAAGGATATTTGTATACCTTCTACATAAAGTATACTTAAAATATACTTGAACTTTACTTAAGTATACTTAATAAAATAAACTTGAAGTATACTACTTTTTGGTAAGGGGAAGCGGACTGTATTTTGAGAAGTTTAAGATATAGCTGGATAATGCCCCAACAATCATAAAATAACACCAGAAAATTGCAGCATTTTTCTTTTATTAGCTGAAAGAAAGACGCGCTGAATTCACGAGGAGGCTTCAGTCTGTTGCAGAAAAGCAGAGGCTGACAACGAGTGAAAACGAGCAGAAATATTTGCGCACTATCACGGGGAGTTTGCGAGTTAACGAGGATTTTAATACATGAGTATGTATCATAGCCTACCGCTGAAATTACCTGAGCAGTTTTAATGTTCTAAAAAACCCTGCTCATTTAACGTGCATTCATTGCATAGACGCCGGGCAAGATAAGCGTTTAAAATGCATGTAGGCTGCAGCTCAGTTGAAAGCTTACCTCCTTTAACTTGCTGTCAGTCCTGAATGTAAGAATGAAAACTGAAAGTAAATTAGAGCTTGTGCGATGAAAGTTGCGTTCGTCGACTGTAATATCCAGTGGTGCAAACTATTCGACTTTTTCTTTCTTTCTTTCTTTTTCAAATTCCGCCGTTTTGAATTGTGAGTAGGCCTAGGGCTGTCATTTACGTGATTCATGTAATTCATAATTATTCCGTTTTGCGTTTTCACCATATTAGGAATACAACTAAAATTGAATGGGTGCATATTTTAAAATAAAAATATTATTTGCAGTTCAGAATGATTATTTTACAAAAAAAAATCTTGTTCTTGTTCTTGTTCTTGACTGTTTTTTCCTCTTCTTTTAATGTCTTCCACTAAATCCATTTAAATCCTTTATTTATTTAGTTCCTTTACCATTACCGTAGTGGTCTGGTCTTTATATTTTCCTCAAAACAATGGTCCCCCCAATATTCTCGACATGATTATGACCTTGTTTGGTATAAATAAAAAAGTTAGTTGAAAATAATCACCAGTGTAGAAACAATGATCCAGAGAAAGAGAACAACGAGTTTTCTTTTTTTTTTTTACTATTAAAAATGTATGAACAAGCCTACCATTTAGAGGGGCGAAGGCATCTGGTAGAAACTAGCTTTCTAAATATTTATAATCAAAAATACGACCGAATCTCAAATTAATGCATGAATCCTTTGTGAACAGATACATAACAGATATGAACCGTCTGACCGAATCGATTTACTAAAACGAATCAGACTTTCCGTTACAGATGAATGAGTGAATCATTTCAGCTGAATGAAGTAGTTTACTACTTTTAATTGGTTACTACTCATGTCTGGTAGACAGATTTTAATTATATACAGTCACAGTCTTATATTCTCCGAACTACAGAACGCACGTGTATGAACTACAACTCCCAATACGTAACCGTTTCACCGCGCAGACTCGCTGGTGTTCTAGCGCATTCCCTTGATGCCTACACGCATGCGCAGTTGTACATGGGAGCATTGGGTATCAATTTGGTCAAACAGCGGGTGATAAAATGGTAGGTGACATAGAAATTAAAAATATTGCTGACGTTTTTTGCTTCTGTTTTTGACGAAGAAGCTCTGGCAAACGTAGATATTCCGCGTCTTGTACGAGTTGTTGTCTGCGCGTGTCGCATCGAGAATTATCATAATTTGTGTGCATGTTTTGTATTGGCAGGAAGGTCAGTTGTTGATATTTAGGGAGTTCAGCATGTAATGTCACCTTTCCGTTTATGTGTCCTGGAATCACGTCCTATGTAATGCATAATTCATCTGAGAATTAATATTATTCTGTGCTTTAGCCAAGCATGCACGCTGTTAACACTGTTCTGTTTTGGATTTTAGAGACCCTCCAAGCCCTATTTCAATACATCAAATTCGGACTTAACATCGAACAATCAGGTTATACGTCATGACTTTTCCAAAATGCAAAAGATCTGATTCGAAACCAGCTTTCAACTTGATGTTGTGATGAAATAGTTTTTAAAAAACAAAGCATATTTCTGTTATGGTGTCATTTGAGACCATAGTTTAAAACCTGACTGTTAAAAGCAATGACATCACTGATGTTTTTAAATGTTTACAATGATTTTGCACATACAAAATAGGGGTCTCTGGGACCCCAAACAACCAGGCAGTCAATGTCAGCAGAACAGGAGGGTTAAGTGACATCCATATCCAGCCATGAAATGTCAAACATCAGTCTTTTAGCCCTGCTCTTTCAACCCAGCCCCTAATAGTAGCCTGGTTATTTTCCAGATTGTAATACCCTCTAAACATGTCTTGAGTGGGCTATCAAACTTTTTGCACATTGTGCTCTGGTTCTATGTCTTGTGATGGCCTGGTCAGAATGGTTCTTTTGAACTCGAACTAGAACTAGAGTAAAAACAGCTTACTGTGCATCGATGGAAATAACTGTCGGGTAACCCGGTTGTTTTGCACTGGCCGCCCTGAGCTTGCCATCTCATATTACATGCCAAGCGCAAGTGGCCTGTCAGTGCTGTCACAGGTCCTCACATGCTTGGTGCTTCAGTCGAACTTGCTACAACCGGTAGAATGTCCTTTTATATTGCCACATGGGTCAGGATGTTTGGTCAGTGCTTTGTTTATGGTTGTTCCAGTTATCAGCTTTAGTCTCGTGCCTGAATGTGTGCAATTTTCTTTCTCTGTATGTTCGTTTGTGTCTCTTTCTGTTTATACACACTGCTGAGTGTAGTCCTCCGTCTGTCTGAGTTCATGTCTGAGGGCATATCTTTTGTGTCCACACAGCATAAACTAAAATCCTCCCAAAAGGACAAGGTACGGCAGTTCATGTCCTTTACTCAAGCCGGGGAGAAGACCGCCGTATACTGCCTCACTCAAAATGATTGGAAACTAGAGGTGGCCACCGACAACTACTTTCAGAACCCAGATTTGTACCACAAGGAATCCATGAAAAGCTCAGTGGACCGAAAAAAGCTGGAGCAGCTTTACAATCGATATAAAGGTGAGTTTCAATTTAATTCTGATGTTGATTATGCCTGCTGTCCTGTGCCTAGGAGCACCACTGCATGCTTATAGGTGCTCTTAGTAATTTGTTTCCCATTAACAAAAATCTTACTGATAAATTGATACAATTTATTTTTTTTTCCTATTACTTAAGAAATATGATTCAAATGTAAAGCTATTTTACTTTTCTATACAGAGTGGCTTGCACTCTCATGTGGGCTGTCATTTTGAGATCACACAACCAGCTGTGCCATGCAGTTCCACTGAGCTACTAAGAATAAAAACAACAAGTTTACTTTATATAGTTGTTATCCAGCTCTCAAGGTGCTTAAAGTTGGCATGAAATGGAAATACATCCTAATTCTTCCATGTATGCTTCAGTTTTTTGAAAAAAATGTTTTGACTTTGTAATGTTTAATCATCTTCCGGTGAGATTACATACTTTCTTACATACTTGATTACAATTGGCAGACTTCTCAAATCATTTCATTCATATAAACCATATTAGGCTAACCGAGACTTGTCATTTGCACTTATATATTGTTGCTCTTTTGTTAGTTTTGACTGCTTTTATTGGCCTCATTTGTAAGTCGCTTTGGATAAAAGCGTCTGCTAAATGACTACATGTAAATGTAAATAAACCACGCCCTTTTCTCATATTCAACTGTAAGCTCACATTCAGTTCTTCACCTATCCAAGCAAAAACTGATGGATTGAACCAAGTCCCCTCCCCTCCCTACTTTTTTTTTTCTTTTTCCATAATGCATTTCATTCAAATGTAAGTCATAATACTGAAGAATTATTTTGTCTTTACTTTGATACATTACGATTAGGGCTGTGCAATTAATCGCATGTGATTGTCATGCGCATCTCGTCAGTAAAGCCGGTTCCGTGATTAGTAGTAAATCTCCATCACCTGCTTTCAGATGGAGCGGCATTTACTACACAGGGCCGTAGTTCACTGACAATTAGGCAATATCGCGTTCATAATTGCAGATGAATCGCATTCGAGTATGAACACGATATCGCCTAGCTTGTCAGTGAACTACGGCTCTGTGTAGTAAATGCCGCTCCGTCTGAAAGCAGGCGATGGAGATTTACTACTAATCACGGAACCAACTTTACTGACGAGATGCGCATGACAATCGCATGCGATTAATTGCACAGCCCTAATTATGATTTTAAGCAAACATAAACATACGACTAAGAATAAAGACTAAGTTTCAGTGGAAAAATAAAATGTCTAAACAAGCTGTTCCTGTTAGAGCAATAAAACAAAACCTGCTGCTTGCATGCCACAGAGTTAAGAAAAATGGCAGGACCTTCATAAACAAACTTCATGCATTCACATATTATTGTAAAGCCCAAAACCAAACAAAAACGTACTCTGTGCACCTTTAAATGTTGAATTCCTCTTAGAAAGTTTTGTTTTACTAAACCAACACTTCTTGTGTTCTTGGTTTTTTTAAAAGTCACCTTAGTGTTTTGGTCTTCTCCCTCAGATCCCCAGGATGAGAATAAGATTGGGATTGATGGAATTCAACAGTTCTGTGATGACCTCAATCTGGATCCAGCCAGCATCAGTGTTCTGGTTGTGGCATGGAAATTCCGTGCGGCAACACAGTGTGAATTCTGCAAGAAAGAGTTCATTGATGGCATGACAGAGCTGGGGTGGGCTATGACATCATTTCTTTATTTAGTCATGCACACTGTTGACAATATTTGGGGTGTGTGGTGGCTGGTAGTATTATTAAAGGTGCTTTGGGAATATCATATCAGATACATTTGGGAATATCTCACATATAATGTTCTACTATCTGGTAAAATCACTGAAATCGTGCCTCTTTATGTGACAGTCCTCGGCTATAAGAACCACAGAAAAATGATCCCATCTGAAATGCTTGATGTGTCTCAAATTATTTTGCATGTTCAGATTTGCTAGGAGAAGCTGTGTAGTTAAAAGTCAGGTTGTAGTCGTTAACAGAACTTTTAATATAAATCTTAACATTTTGTTTGAGTGAAATGTGAATGAGCCAGTGATTAGATTGGCGACGAGCCTAAATGTTTAATTTCACCTGCAGGTGTGACAGTCCGGAGAAACTTCGAGCACTTCTGCCCAGATTAGAACAGGATCTGAAAGACAGCGGAAAGTTCAAAGATTTCTACCAGTTCACCTTCAACTTTGCCAAGAATCCTGGACAAAAAGGTTTAGGTAACAGCACCTTTTCTTTCTGCAATTATGTGAGTTTTCACTCTGGCTTCTTATACCGAATAAACAGTCTTCTGTATTATTCGTCTTTTTCCATTTCAGATTTAGAGATGGCAGTAGCATATTGGAACCTGGTTCTGGATGGACGTTTTAAGTTCCTAGACCTCTGGAATAGATTTTTATTGGTAATTCATTACAGCTTTGGACCTTTGACCCTGTTTAGCACTGAATACAAATTAAAATGGGTTTTCTGGCTGCTACGCAACACATTAACCACATAGTGGAATAATTTCCTTTAGCAATTAATTTAGATGCTCTCTGGTCTCTGCCCTTATTTTGTGAAGGAGCATCATAAGCGATCAATTCCCAAAGACACGTGGAACTTGCTTCTGGATTTTGGCAACATGATTGCAGATGACATGTCAAACTATGATGAAGAAGGTGACACACATTATCAATTTTTGTTGTGTTTTGTGAGCTAATATGCTGACTGAACTTTTAGTGATTGGTTTTGAAGTTATAAATTGACTGCCTTTACTCATATAGGGTATGCTGGATTTTAATCATGTCACGTTTTGTTTTGTTTCAGGAGCATGGCCTGTTCTCATCGATGACTTTGTGGAATATGCTCGGCCAATTGTGACAGGATCAAAGCGCAAAACTGTATAGTAACGCTGCTGCTGGTCGCCTCATTGACTTTGTAGTTTTTTTGAAAGACTTGTAAGCATAATAAGAGTGAACTAAGAGAAACACTTGAAACCCACAAGCTTTGCAAAAGGAAGGATGGAAAAGACGATTCAGACGTCCACACATCACACAGGAAGGACAAGAGTGTGAAACTCAAGATTTCTTATAGAGCCATCAAATGCACATGGCCAGCTATATTTGCACTGGCGACTCTATTCTAGCCTGAAACCCTTGGAGATTTTGGGTGGATAACTTCGAACCTAGTACCTCATCTCCATAGCAATCAGTGTCACTCTATAGGGCCGAGTCCTCATTGCCTACCCACTCTTCACAGTATGAATTATGGACTAGTCTCTCCAGTTTCATTTTAGATTATGTACCCATCTGTCTGGGTGTGTATCTCATGCAGGACTTGATGCTGATCATGTCCGCATTTTAAGCCAGACGTTCATGGGCAGCACAGCATGCGGCTCACCACACCAGCACTATTGTTACAGTTGTAAAATACTGTATCTACTGCAGCAGTATGTACAGAGAGAAATGTATTATCAGTAATGTTTTATTATATGAAATATGAAAGAAAGGCGTGGTCAAAACAAGATGCCTCCATACCATGATCTTGTATGATTTTAGGTCAAATGTGTCATCTGCCCTGTTGCGGAACTTGTAACAACATGGTTCAGTGTTACTCTTTTTTTTTGTTTTGTTTTGTTTTGTTTAGCAGATTTATGTTAAGAAATAAATTATTGCCCTTTATGTTCTTCTCAATCTCTAACAACCCTGTTATTCTTTAACAGGACATCTATCCTTGGACAACAAGAGGCTTTGCGAGCTTTCACTATGAAACATTCTCCCACCAGTATCACAAATTCAACATGCATCTGAATCAAAATGATTATTGCAGAAAATTAATACCTCACTTCATAAATCACTAAAAAGCAACCCTAGAGCATGATGGTAGGGATGGAGTTATATTTGGTTTGCACCAAACATTCAGGACATGGAGGTTAATTTTAGTGCCATCTGAGACTACAATTATTTTTTTCTAAAAAAGCTTTCAGGTTTGTCACAAGCATAATTCAGGCATGATGTAATGTTCATCTTTTTCAGAAGTGCTTTCCTTCTCATCGATGAGTGCCAAACCTGCAGTGCTGAGAATATTGATGTCAGCCAAAATGCTCTGCATCGCGGTCAGTACTGTAGCTGACCTCTTGGTCACCCATGTGACATCTTCCCTCTTTTTTCTGTTGCTCAGTTAGGCCTGGATTGTGTCCAGTGTTTCTTTCATCCATTCTGTTCAACTAAACATAATGTCTATAGAAAGATTTAAAGCTTTTCCAATAATATTATAACCTTTTGTAGCTTTTTTTTATCCTTCGGTTCATATCAGAGTTCCACATCACAGGCTGATCTGTTGTTTTAGTGGATAGAAGCAATCGAACACAGTAAAATAACTGTTTATATCACTTCAAATTGGTGAGAGTTGGTATGATCATGTAAGTTATGACTTTCTAGTGTGGAACATGAGATGTTAGGCTGTCATTCTGCCTGAAATTCTCAATATTTGTCCTCCACAGAGAAGAAAGTATTGTGAATCGGGAACAACATGAGGGTGAGTAAATGATGACAGAATTTTTATTTTGGGTGAACTACTTTAATGGCGGAAATGAACTTGCAATGCGATTTCACTGTGTACCACAAGAGAGCGGCAATCTGTTTATATCCCAAAGAGGCTTCACGTTCACGTTTGAGAGCTTGTATCCATGTATTGCTTCATTTTTATTATGTGTGTTTATATGTATGTTATAATATTCTAAGTGTGTAAAAAAAGCATTTTCATTGAAATTTGCCTTTTGTATTATTTCGTTGTTACTTCCAATCCATATACAAATAATAAAAAAATGATGGAACTTCACAAAATCATTGTTTCTCTACGGAATGTTACCAATGTAACACGCGTTTTATGCTAACCGCGGGCTTCAATCTACATTGAGAGGTTCAGTCTTACAAAACTCATTTTCAATTTACTGCATTTGACAAGAATGACAGTTTTTTGTATCTGACAAACAGCACAATCACCATGAATCTTGACAGGATTCGTAAAAGAGTGAGACACTACATTGATCAGGTAAGAATCAGCAGTATATTTAGCATTAACACTGTAGCTTTAATTTGCACACCAGATAAGATTTTATTAATTTATGTTTTCATAAAGCTGTTTATATGATACTACGTAATCGGAATATTATAGAAAATGGAAAAGTTAGTATAGTTAGTTCGGAACAACTAGGTTCATTTTTGAAGCTAGCCAGCTGACTTTCATGCTAACAGGTTTAAAAGCTTCTTAATTTACATTTAAATAACAGAATTGTTGGTTGTTAATAGATATGACATCATGTTGTTTTGGACTGTTTTATTCTTAGAAATAAATCGGTAATATAAACTCTATGAGGGCGTGTACATGTCAAACTGCATTAATATGATTAAATGAGCATCTATATATGTTGATTGCTAAATAAGAGTCCAGTTTTATCTTAATAGTGTAAATATCAAAATATGAATGAAATGTTGTTTACCTCAAATTATTGCATGATCTGTTTTATAGCAACAGTATCAAAGTGCTCTGTTCTGGGCTGACAAAGTAGCGTCCTTATCACATGGTAAGTATCTTCATCCTCCTTAACACTGTATGGATACTGTCAGTGAAAGTCTTAGATAAAATGCATATTAGTGTTAATTAAATTACATTGACTCTTGCATATTAATCACAGGCTGTTTAATCTCTTGTAGAGGATCCTCAAGACATTTATTGGTTAGCACAGTGCCTTTATTTGACAGCACAGTATCACAGAGCCTCTCATGCGCTCAGATCTCGCAAACTTGACAAGGTAAGATAATTGATTTGATCTGCTGATTGACTGATGAAAATCATTTCAATAGTAACAAATATTCTTAGGTCTTAGTCCTTCAAAAACGTAACCTGATAAATTAATTGAAACATCTTTCCATGCTGAAATGTTTTAAGTGCATTAATGCAGTAGAATGAAGTAAAAAAAAAAAAAAAAAAAAAAAAA